TGTGGTACCTCAGGTGGTGGCAGTCTGATTGTGCAAGCTTCTATGCTTAGACAAACTTGAGTTTCTGTTACATTGATGTCTAATACTGAAAATAAAATATTTACCTGTGAACTATGTGGCATTATTCTTCCATCCTATCTAATTATTTTAGTAGCAAAAAAAACCCCTTTAACTTAATTTATTTAAGTCAAAAACTAAGTTAAGATTTTTTTCCCCACGTGGTAAAATTCAAATAATCACCATTGAATATTTGATGATCTACAGATGAGACATCTAAAGGAAGACAAATGTATAAAACAGCATGAATATATGGGGAGGAAAGTAGTTGCAGGGCAAGGTTACAATAAGAAAAATGAGACATCCACAGTTAAGAGGAAAACCCAACACATATACCTATACATGTATGACATCTATTAATATTATATGTAAAAATATGGAGACTGTCCCCTTCTGAAATCTAAACAGGAACCACACCATGTTTCTAACATGAATAGTCTTTTACTAAAAAATTTCCTCAAATATACTGGCAGATATATTCCAGATCTCCTAGAGCCTTGACGTCTCTACCTTGCTTTTTCATAAAGAAAACTACTACTGACAAGCCAGGATAGTAGTGACCTTGGGAAGGGGTAGTACCTGAAGACAGCATGAGGAGGTTGGTAATGTTTCTTGATGGGAGAACTGGTTACAATGATATGTTTAGTTTGTTAAAATTAAATGAGCTATACACTTACAATTTGTGAGTTATGCTGTAGTATATTACATTTCAGTAAGAGTGAAAAAAAATCCTAATACAGGAGTAAGGAATTTTGTTCTCCTGAACTGTTAACTTTAAGCTCTACAGTTGTAGTTTCATGATAGGATCTGGGGGTGAAACTAGATTTAGGTAATGAACCCATTCATACAGAGTTAGAGCATAGTGACTATCACTGTCCAACTTAAATGTAAAACTAGTATAAAAAAGCTTTAGCTGGAAAGCCAACTCAGATCAAATAGTTGTGGATTACAGGTCAGGATTTTAAGGCTATGCCCAAATGATAGGAAGAGCTACCGTGATTGATTAATAATATCTGCTGTGGGCTCAGGATTCCCACCTATCTACTATCTCTGGAGTACTGTTTAGGAAACTATCTACCTGACATACAACCATGCAAATCGATGAAAGAATCGGATTAGGCCATACAGTAAACTATATACTTTGGATCATCTGTGTCTCTTTAGATAACCTTTTTTTATTAAAGGAGAAAAACAATCACATTTTTCTTATAAGAAATGAAGTTTTGACTTATATCAGCACTAAAAAATTTTTGATGATATGATTCTGGTAACTATGCAGTGCCTACAAAATTAAACTCCTTCATACTTATAATTTTCTTTAAGTAGAGAAAATAAAATATAACTTTTTCCAATTATGATTAGTAAATTTTTCTGATATAAGTAGAATATGTATTTTGAACCAGAAGTGATTTCCAGGTGAAATTCTGATTACAATAATATCTGATTAAACTCTGATATAACCAAATCATCAAAAGATT